TGACGTAACTTGCTATAAATTGCCCTTTGCTTGTATTTATAAATGAGTTTATTCAAAAGAAAGTTGTTACAGACATTGGTAACTTGGAAGAGGAACCTTAACAAAAGGTTCAAGTAAGCTGGTTTTAGAATATTATGTTTTGGGGGAGAAATTATGCACAAAAACTGGCACTGTGCTGTAGAGATGTTACATTATGTGAAACAGGTCTGGGAAGACTAGGCAGAGATCATCCCCATTAAAATAGGAGGGGGCAATCCAAGCTGCTCTTAAGCTTTTTGTGGGCACTACAATTTGCTTGTGACATGTATGTACATAGAGCCCTGAAGTGAGTCAGTAAAATTTAATGTTAAAGATAAGCCTGGGAAGCAAGGTTCCGCTTTATTTTCATATTGTATTTGTCACTTCTTAAAACTAGTGACAGACTGTGAATGCTGGACCTCTTATTGAGAGCCAGGTAAAATACTGATGCCACTGACAACTTTATTCAACTTAGTTTTTCCTTTTAAGCATTTATTGCTGCTTCACAATACTTTTGCAATAGATGGGCTTTTCTGACCAGGTGATGCTGATTCTTTTATGGTTGTTTTCAATGTTAGGTCTGCCCAAGGTGGCCCTAATGCTGCAGTTTTAGAATAAAGAACAGTGTCTGAATTTAGTCTTTCTATGGCTTCTTTTCTTTAAATCCCTGCACCACTTTGCAGCCGATATTGTCCTTTGCTTTGTGACAGGCAAAACTATATCTGCTGCCACTGTGTATATTGTCCAAGGCAAAATGAAGAAAGAAGGGCAGTTTGATTTTCTCTGTCAAGTAGACAAGATGGGATGGGAGCCATGTGTGTGCTGCCCCATCCTAGATCGGGTGCCTGTGAGGAACGGGCTACCTTATACCTGATTTTTTCTTCATGGAGCAGATCAGTAATTGAGGGCTCAGCAGTGGACTGTAATTTTTGTTCCGCTTCCTTCTCCCTGTCAGTATTAGGGAATGGTCTCCCAGAAGCATTGCCTGAGCCTGGCAGGGGAGAATTGTAGCTGCCTGTTCACAGCCCTTCTTCCCAGGAGGGGCATCAAGGGGCATCAAGAGTACATTTCTCGCTCCTTTCCCTTACTGGGGAGAGACTGTTATAGGTAAGGAGAAGAGTGCAGAAAGGCTGGGAACTGTGAATTTAACTTACTTATTTTTATTTCAACAATAATTACACCTGGACTACTGTGGTGGAGCAGTAGTCTGAGAACAGCTAAGTAATACCTCAGTCAGAGGTATTGGTGCTAAGACTGTGCACAATATGAAGTGTTTCCTGCTTCTTTCTCTCATTTTAATAGAATCATAGAATCATTAAGATTGAAAAAGACCTTTGAGATCATCAAGTCCATTTTTCTTTCACATAAGCCTCTTCCATTGAAAGAGTTTTTCTTTCCTCCATTTAGTTGAACACTGAATTTTTAAAATGCGTTTTCTGGTCCATGTCCTTTCAGGAAGGAGGTTAAACAGATTTCATCTTTACTTCAGAAAATCTTATTAATAACCATAGGGAGGCTGCAGATCTGAAGAAAAGGAGGAATCAGGTGTATATATAAGGTTTGGCTCTACTGGCTGTGTTTGTGATTCTGGTTTAGCTTGTGTGTATTTTTCCCCAGTAATTCTATACAAATACTGAAAGTAACAAAGTGCCTGTATATGCTGAGAGTCTTGCTTTGTACTGGACTGTGTTTGTACATCAAGGCAATAGTAGGCCCTTTTCTAATTCTAAATAATCCTCCTAACTTGAATATTCAAGTGCTTTTCAGTAATTAGTTATCTTACTTAATTGCTAATTTTTCTCTGAAGGCAGGAATCGTTGTTTCTGTATCACAGAAAGAACCTGAGCCACCAGACTGAGTGCATTGTTGTTCCATGGTACATGCTGAGCCTGCTGCTGCCAGAATAGGAATTTTACTCAGATGCAATTCTAGCTTTACAACGAGAACATTACAGAGTAGCTACTGCTGGTGACACTTTGGAGACTTCATGTACAGGAGCCCTTCTGTTTTCATTTCACTTCATTACATGCACTGCTCATTTAGCTGTTTGCCCTTTTGCTGTAGCTCCAAATCAGAGGAGACCTCCCGGGAAGCTAATAGTGGGAATGTAAACCCTGCTGGGAGCTACCTGCGTCCTGCAGTTTGGTTGCTGCTGAGGAGTTTCTGCCCTGGTAGCAGGAGTTCAGCAGAACTGGAGGCTTCGGTCATTGCTTGTGGTATTCACAGAGCTCAGTGCAAAATCCCCATCAAAGCCTGTGACATTTTTAGGCTCTTTGCTGGCGTCTGACTTGCCCCGTGTGTACATTCATTAATTTTAAGGATTTACTGCAGTGTTGAGATTCTTCCTGCAAATTGCTTGGCTTCTCCTATTAATTATTCACAATCCATGGTGTTTGATCATGTCATCTTTCAGGTATTGCCTCACTGAGCTGCCGCCTTGTGTGTCCCCACCAGTTTCATTGATCCAGCATGAAAACCACGTGAACCGTAAAATATCTGAGTTCCTCAAAGATTACTGGGATAACTGTGGAAAGAGTGAAATACTCAAACTTATTCTTGACTTTGTCCATAAATCTGGTCATTGTTGTACTAACTGCAAGTCAGACTTGAATACATTAGCTTTTAAAGTTTGCTATATAATATATTGCTTCATTCTGAGAGGCACTGGAAACTAACCCTATACAGAAAATGAACAGCAGATACGTGTTATATATTTCCAAATTGCTGAGACCGTTGCTTAATGGAAGAACATCAAGATCAATATTTGGCTGGATTTCATTTGAATGGTTGATACTGAGATAAAAAGAAAGGAAATAGCCTGGTTTCACTGAGAGAATTAGAGGGGTAATTGGGCCACAGCTTGCAATGGATAGTAATGGTTTGCATGCCAAGATGGATTTCAAGCTGTAACTGATCTGACTATTTAGATGGTGGGTTTCTGGGGTGGTTTTGTTTTTGGGTTTTTTTTGTGGGTTTTTTTTTGTTGTTGTTGTTGTTTTTTTTTGGTTTTTTTTCCCCTTGCATGTTTTTGAGGCGTAATGTATCCAATGTGGGGGAAGGGCCAAACTCTGGATTATGAAAATACCTGATTACCCAGTTAGTAAAGATGTCAGATACAAGCTTAAATGTAAATCTGCTTTTTAAAACAATTACCTAAACCCAGAGAGAATTTGAGCATTCAGAGCTGTTACTCTGAGGGTATATATGAAGCGACCACTGCTGTAAGCTTTCATAGCCTTCTTTCTCCTTCTGCCTCAGCTTTTGTGTTCTTCTTTTGTGTTCTTGTGTATGCAGCTGATGCAAAATATTCTGATTATTTGCCCAGAAAAGGTCTCCATCTCCAGTTGACCGTGCAGATCAGCTCCAAGGAACCACAATGATTTTGATGAAATCTTCTTAACCTTTTACATACACTTAAAAAGGGATCTTTTTATCATAACATAATATGTTAATTTTATTTTTTTAAACTTACTTTGCACTGATGTGTTATGTAAAATGAAATGCTTTGATTTCAGTGATAGTAGATGTTTCCATTAACATAAACAAGGACTTTTTAGGAAAAAAACCCACAAAAACAAAAACCCTAACTCGCATACTCATGGTTGAAATGTGACCAGATTTTAAATTTTCAGAATTCACTATCATCCATTTTCACACTGCTTCACATGTTTGTGGAACTGCACCAGATATAATGATACATTGACTGAAACAGGAGATCATTTTGTAGAAGGAAATTTAGATTTGTGCACTGTATGCACCTGTATGCAGGAACAGAATCTGTTTTATGACAGCAGGATCCTGCTACCCTTATTCAGCCCAGGTTTTCACAATGATTATTCTGTCTAGACATCAGCCTCAGCATTTCAGTAAAGAACTTTGAACTCCTTCTAAGATGTTTATGTTATCATGAAGTATAGATAATAAAAAGGAGAGGAACAGGGCTATCACAGCTGTTCTGGAATATCTCTTTTAAGTAATTATTTTACATGCAGGGAGGTCAAACCTTTGAAGTTGAAATGTTCACAGCATTAACATATAATATACCTTCCCAACCATTTTTTTTCAACTTTTACAAGGAGAAGCTTAGCTTAAAAATACCCAGTTACTTGCTTCAATTTAAACATTCAACCAGAATGTCCCTACTGAGTTGGAATGGGGAAAGAGCTGTAGAATTTGAGATGCAAGTTGAGCTTCCTAATTGACTGCTGGAAGTGAGGTGCTGTTCTCCTAACACCATGTCTTTTAGCCTTCTCAAAGCTAAATGTCTACTACCCTTCCAGTCTTTCTCTGCCAATCCTGAGGAGAGAGGTGAATTTAATAATGGCCATACACCTTACTTCCTCAGCACCTGCCTTCAGTGGGTATGGGATGCCCTCAGGAGGTGTTTCCTTGCTGCCCAAAAGTCTCAGACATCAAAGCTGCACCAGACTGTTCCCACCTGGACACTGAGCTGTCTGTTTTCTTAGTATGCTTTGTATGTTCTATTTTGTGGCATTCAGAAGAAATTCCAAGTATCATATTTTTCTTTGCTTTCTGCCTTATTTGTTGCAGTGTCAGTTTGGGTGCATTATAACAGCTCAGCAAAGGATGCTCTGTGTAATTTCAAATCATTTGCAGTTCATTTTGTCCTTTTATTCTGGTTTTTTTTCAGGAAATAGGGAATACATCCTGCTGTGATTAGGGTTGCATGTCAGAAATATTGGCACTGTTGATCTTAAATATAAGGTGGAAATAATACTGAGTGTAGACAAGTGAAGTTACACATTGTAAACCTGTAGCAAACAACTTCAGTGCTGCTGGGCACACTTTTCAAAAGTAACTCAGGAGTGACATTCCTGGAAGGATTTGGGCTCTTTGGCATAGCTCTTTACGAGTCTTATTGTAGATTCCTGAGTCACTTCACAGGTAGTTTTTTTGTCATCCTTATTAACAGCCAGATAGCTCCATGATGGTTTTTTTGTTTTTTTCTCTCTCTTCCTCAGCTCCCTTTTTTAGAATCTGGATACTTCTTTTATCACAATGGCATTCCTAAAGCCAGGAGAAGACGCAGTCTTCAACACAAGCTTCGTCTGGAAAAGGACTCCAGGGTAAGTGTTTCCTCATTATATGCAGCTATCATGTTTTCTTTGTGACACAGACCATTTTTTATGAGATTGGGGTGATGATCAAATTTTTGTTTATGGCTACGTTTTTTTCTCCATGCTCATTTCAAGCTTGGTGGCTGCTGTATGCACACACCTCCCAGACAGCCTCAGCTTTTATTTTTATTTCACTGCTACAAATAGTCCTGTATTCTCTGAGTTGTATCCTCTCTCTAGTAAGACTCAGTGATCTCATAGTCCCCAGGACAACTCTGTGCACTCTGTACTGTAGGGAGAAGCCATCCAGGGTACATCTCCTGGTTGTCCCCTCCACACATCCTACTATCCATGGATTATCCACCCCAGAATACCTTGTGGAGTGAATGTTGGCACTTTGCAATGACACTGGAACTTTTTCTCAGGGAATGATGTGCACACCAGTTGCTAAAAGACTGTATGCTGTCAAACTTCAGTAGCTCTGAAAGAGACTCTTGATTGCAGTCTGCAGACAGTGTGCTCAGTTTTCAGAAGCATAAACCCCTCAGACAGGAGAAAGAGGCCCCTTTTGTGGAAGGCTATGAGCTGGCAAATTCTTTGTTCTTTTATGCAGAGTTTTTACACCAGTTTAATACTGGGCTGGAGTTGGGCCCGGTAGCACAAAAAGTGTGTTTACTGCCCAAAGAAGGTTGATAAGCCTGAGGAATGATATGATGACAACAAATAGATTATTTTTTAATCCTTCAATAGGATTTAAACTCTCTGCACTGTGAGCAAAAAAGAAGGGGGAACAATTTCATTCCAGACAGAATTTGATTGCCAGTTATTATGTGGTTTTGGAGCACCTGTGATAATGAAAAACTTGAGTAGGAAGAGAAGGAAAATAAGCTAAATAAGATCATGATTGTTGTTGTGACAGCAGAGCAAGCAAGGTCTGATGAATTCCCAGCTTCCTACTTCTGCAGAAATTTCAAGTGGTTCTGGGCCCAGGTCCAGCTGGGATGCCCATGTCTGGTCTCTCCTGAGGCTGAGGGCCATGTGAGTGAAGCACACAGGTTCCAGGTGCTGTCTGCCCCATCACTTTGTCCTGAGATGCTGATAGCTGAGTGCTGGCAGGTTCTTAGGGGGTGCTGCTGATCTTCCAGTTCTCTAGGGTACCTTTTCCTGGCCCTCTTCTCCAAAGCTGGTACCAGGTACAGATGAGGGGGTTTTGAGGACCCATTCAACCTGCCTTGAATAGAAATTCTCAGGCTTCCATCATTTTATTTACTAAGCAGAGATCAGAAAGCAAACCACTGAGGAAAATCTACAATTAGTAGATACCAAAGCAGATGTCCTGAGAGAGGTATTTCATTTCCTTGAACCACCCAATCTTGTAAAATCATTTCAGAAAAAGCACACAACTAAGTGAGTACATTGCAAACTAGTGGCTGAGTCATTGTGCAGGTGACTCTGTACTTGAAATAAATAGTTCTGTAAGCCTCTGAAAATTTTATAAACACCTGTGGTATTTGTATGAATCCACCAATTCTGTCTGCAGCCTACTATTACATGTCTGAGCACTCCTGTACTGATTCCAGACTGGCTCTTGCAATGATTACCTCTAGACTAAGAGTCTGTACTCCTATTAAGAACAGCTTAAATGAGTCTGCCTTCTTGTTCAGAGATGTTCTCTTTTGTAGTCATCTGATATTTGCAGTCTCTAGACTCCTGGTTGGCTTCTGTCACATGCAGTGAAATCTCGTTTTTGCTGTTAATCTCCACCTCATCCTGGTGCTGCATACCAATGGCTCAGCTCCCTTTGGCTTCTTCCTTTGATCTGAGGGAATAAAGCCCTCCGTTTAAATAACTGAGAATATCTCCTCTGTGAGAAAAAGGATGACCCTGGTGTGTTCTGACTTTGTGGGTTACTCTGGAGGATGTAAGGGGGATGAAACAACATTTCGTTTTCCACATGTAACATGACATTTTCTCATCTAGCCCTCCTGCTTACTCTGTCCTGTTGGATAGTCTTTGAGGTCTTACGATACCATATATGTCAGTTGCTTTATGTAATACAGTTTGAGAGCAATTAAAATCATTACTCTTATCTCCCTTCTTCTTTTATATCTGGAGTTTGGAGAAGTCATTAAAATTCCTGTCGTATCTGAGTATAAGTGGAAGCATGAGTTTTGTTGACAGCACTTAATTTCAAACTCCAGAAATAATTTCTAAATTTAATGGCAGCTTTCTAGACCATTTACAATCAATTTTACTTAGTAACAAATGTCAGCACTGTCATGGTTAATATGTTAACGCATGAAGCCAAGAATAAAATGTTCCTGTTGTCAGGCTATCCAGAAAGAAAATTTCCACCACAGGGTCGTACAAATCTATCAGGAACTGTTATGGTAAATGCTGTAGTTGCTTGGCCCTACCCAAATGTTGTGAGAAAGTGGGCTGCACCTATTCTGTATATTTTTCACTTTTAAGGAGATTACTATTCCTAGTTAATTTTAGTTATTAGCTGAAAAACAACACAGATGTTCACTCAATTAATTAATGTTCTTTAATCAAGTAAGTCCCTTGAGAAACCATGTCAGTTTTTCAAGAGTCTGGGGAGACAGATGACAGAGAACTGTGTAAACAGGTTACTGCATGATTTCCATGCTCTGCATGTCTTTTAAAATGCTCAAAAATGCTTTGTTGTGTAAAATTTGCTGTATGTTTTGACCAAAATAATTTGGAGACACACTAAACACATACAGAAGTTGTGTGATAAACATCATTGCTGTCAAGGGGATGGAAATGGAACATCACTAAGATTCCTTCCTAGAGATCCAGCAAGAGCTAATCTTTGTTCTGAAGAACAGCCTCAAGTACAATGGTTTTCACATTATTCAATACATTTGTGTTGCTGAAGCCTGAAGCAGTCCTGGCAGCAGGTGAAGGCACCTGTAATGGTGTCACATGGTGTATTGTGCTACTGAACTGTTCAAGAAAAAAGTGCAGGCATGTGAAGCACCTTGGCTTTTTCTGTCAGTACTGTCCTGTCAGGATGGCAAATGTCACAGTGAATTAAACTGCTTCAAATGGAGACTGTTTAGTTATTTGAATTACATTCTCTGACATACAGAGAACCTTCCAGGAGTTGCTCGTGAATGACTCTTTTGCATCAGTTGCAAAGTTTCATGATTTCCAGGTGCATTTCTATTTTACCATTTTAGCTTATGTACCTTTGGTGCCAAATAAATTGAGGGGAGGATTTCCTTTAAGATTTTTACATATTTAAGCTGGAGTTCTTAATAAGCTAACACATAACAACAAGATCTCCAACATCCTCCTTGTGAAATTGCATTTTTGTCTGCCTTTATCTGTTAATTGCTTCAGCAGAAATGTCTCAGACCAAAAGGTCGGCCATTAGAGTTGTTTGGCCTTGGGAGACTTCACTTAAGGAGCTGCTGTACTTTGTCCTTGCCATGACCTATGGACACAGACAGCTGGGAGGAGGTGACAGCAGGGGCAGGGGCTTCGGGTGATGTAAAGCCCTGAGGAGCCAGAGTAGGATGGGACCAGACATCAGTGTGAAGGTGAAGGGGAGAGTAAGTGGGACAGGCTGAAACAAGAGCCCAGAGTCAGAGAGAAGGTTGACTTATTTGGGCATGGAGGAGCCCATGTAGTCAGTGGGACATGGGATGGGCTGGAGAGACTGGAAACAGGGCATCCAGACGTGCTGCCTCCTGAGTGCAGGTCACAACACAACCTGAGAGCAAAGTGATCTTTAGAGTCTACCCTGGGAGCAAGGGGAAATACAGCTTCTGCAAGAGCAAACTCAGTTTTTAATAATGAAAGACAGTGGTGTGTTTCATCATGTTTTCCATGATTGCCATGGAAAAGTAAATCAGAAATACAGAGACACTTCATATTGCCTTGTTTGTTCGTAGAGTAGAGGCAGGATGGGAAACAGAAATGCTTCCTGCTCCACTGTAGCTAAAAGAAAAGAAATCCACAGGATTTGCTACATTTTGATTTTCAAAACTGACTTACATTCTGGCCTTCTGTGTTATTAATACAGCTGTGGCCTCAGCTGTATTATTAATAAACATTTGGAAAACTGGCCACATAAGTAAAAGGAAAGAAAAAATGCACAGTGGTTATGTTACCTTTCAGAGTAATACTTTTTGTATTGCTGTTGGTGGGTATTTTCTGTTAGTAAATAGTCTTCCACTGAAAGAGCAGGAGTTGAAACATAGTTTGTTCTCTCGAAGATTATTTTGCTTTCTTTCAAGTTTTAGATAAAACCATTTTCCTCCCACACAGTCTCTCTTGTCAGACAGCTGCCAAGATTATCCTACTCAAGAAAGAGGCTTTAATATCCAGAGAAGAGCTGAGTCCCATTACTGATATCTATATGTGAGTGCATCTGTGTTGGTGTTGGGGGAATAAATATATATGTGTGGAGGGGGGAAGGTGAAATGAAAATCTTCCAGTGAGAGTGAGTGAGTTTGGCACTTAGATGATGACTTCTTTGGAAATAAACATCCCAGTGATGGCAGTTGTTACACTGCAGAAAGAGATCAGAAAGAGAGACTTGGCTGATATCCGTGCTGATACAGAAGTCTGGGGAGGTGGATGCAGACCTTCTTCAAGGGCTAGTTTGTAGGTGACCATGATTAACATACTTCCAAACTGCTTGTCTCATAGGACAAGGAAGAAAAGGGGACTGTAAATGCAGAGGATCTAAGCTTTTAATTGAATAAATCAAAATCTCCCATATCCTTCGTCACCTGAGATCCTTCACATGCCCACTTAACGTGGCTGGCTTGTTTGCGATGGGACCGTTGCAACCTGTGAAGGCAGAACTGTCCTCTGATGCCAGGCAAGGGGCAGCCAAGTGCTGCCAGAGCTTGATAGTTCATCCATGGTCACCTTTAACAGAGAGAAAGAGGAATGGATGGCAGCTTGAGAAGAAGGAGCACAGCTGCTTAACAAGCAGCAGCCCTTAGCAATGGCAGAACAACGTAAATCAA